CCCCCCCCCCCTTTTTTTTTTTTTTTTTGTACCCCTTTTTTGTCTTTTTTTTTTAATTTTATTTCTGGGTCTTCCGTGTGTGCAGTGCAGGTCATCTCGACTGCGTCTCACTCAGGTCAGGTCAGTTCAGTTTTCGTTTGTTGATTTTTTTTTCGTGTTGAAAGGTAAGAAATTCCTGGCGCGAGTGTCTCGAGGTGAACTTGGAAAAGCGTCGGTGATAATTTCATTATTTGTCTTCGGAAAGTGTTGTGGGGGGGATAAAATGAATGGTCTTGAAGATCTTGATGTAAGTTTACAATGCGTTGGTCTGAGTAGATGTTGGATTGGTTGAACTCATAATTCTTTGAAGAAGAAAAAAATTATTGCGTTCTCAAAAGTATGCGTGTGGTGAAAGATTTGAACTTTTTTTATTTCTGGGATATTTTGTGTGAGGTTGTTTGCTTTGAGTGCCTTAATTATTTTCATGAAGAACATTGGCTAAATTGAAAAGTGGGAATTTTTCCAATTTTAATTATCTTTATAGACTGATATTTTGTCCTAATTGTTATCTTGAAGTACTCTTTTTTTTCTATGAATTTTTTGTTAACTGCTTGCATGAAGACTTTTGTGTTTTTATCTCTTAATTGCAAGCAAATGAATGTGGTGGGGTCTTGATTAATATAAACTGTATTTAATCAAATCCAACTGTGAAGAGTGGGAAATTCATTCATTGTCTCTGCACCATTTAGACAATTTTCATATGTCCTAAAAATCGCCTATACTGTACTGTAATTATGTAAAAGTGAATGAAATTAATTATATTCTAGAATACCTAGATCCCTTTGCTATGTCCTTGAAAAATTCTTCATTAAATTAATATATAACGTTTAAGTAAAATTTTCGAAAAGAATTCTGGCATTGCAGCAGATCAACGCTAAAAAGCTTTTACCTGTTCAAAACATTGTGCTGGCAACCACATTTCTCAAGACTGCATTGATTTTTTGAAAAAAATATCACTTTTTAATGCAGGCTACTATTTGAAGTATGGGTTACAATCCAAAAGTTGAACTTGTTAGAAAACCTGTGCAGTTCATGGTGGTGTTGGTTTACCAAGGTTTTTTTCTACATTTTACAGTGATGCATTGATTTTTAGATATCGCTCTTCTGAAGTTTTTGAATAACCTGATTTTTAGGTTTAGTGATTACTCATTTTTCACAAGTTTTTGCTCTCGAATATGTTTTTTTTTTTGCTGGCCTGATTAATTTTCGAAAGCTGTGAAATTGAGAATTTTTCAATCTGCGACTGGGTTGAAAAATAGAGGAGCGTGTGAAACCACGTTCATGAATAACTTCCCTGCGCAATTCATGAATGCAGGGAAAGCTGGGAGGGTCCATCTTTCATCCTGGCTTTCGGATATCATTGCTATGAATAGACCCAGTATAATACAGGGCTGGACATTCCAGCAGCAGTACGCGCCATAAAATATGTACTCAAGCCAGAACTTTTTAATCTGTCCCAACTGCATAATCAAGCCCCTGCCAGGGACTGAATTTATTACCCTCTGTGTTGCACTTGAGGACCACTCACTCTGTCTTTCATGCCATTCTCTCTCTCTCTCTCTCTCTCTCTCCTGTCTGGAGTTGCTATTTTTGGGACCCCTTCATTTGCAATGACAATAGCAAAGATTGTTTGTTCAAAGCTTGTGATTCCCTTGTAGGTGATTGGGATGCAGTTGAAGTAATTTTAGTGAGTAATTATTTATTTCCTGTGTGCTGTGTTTCAAATTGCATTCATTCACCCATGTTCAAATTATGTCAAGGTAATAGGGGGAAGTGTAATGCATCACTGTGAGAAAATACTGTACAGTTAAATTTCTATATGTGCATGTTTTGCAAATTTTCAAACAGTTTTCAATGCTTCCAAATACTGTATATAAGGTGGCATTGGCTGAAATCTGACCTCTGAGGTCGTAAGGACATTCTTCCTGATCTTCGCTTTTTTTCTTGGTAGTGATGCAAAATTTGAAAACTGGTAGTCAAGGAAAAGATATTAAGTTACTCAAGTCAGAGGTCAATTGAAGGAAGTTCCCGTAAATCATACCAAACTTGCTTTGGGACTTTTTTATTTTTACTCAAAAACTATGTCACTCCTGTGATGTGCTGAGTTACCCGAAGGTCAACAAAACTTGAACAAGTTTTCCAGAATGGGGTGGAGTCATCAAGTGAGTGTGAGTCAATGATTGAGTGTCCCCGTAATGTCAACTATCCGCGGAATGGCGCGTAATGGCGGACAGATGCGAAAAGCGCGCGCCTTGAAAATTCAGTCCCTGAGCATCGCCCAGTGAAAATCCCGCTTCACGCCTCGTGCCTTAGAAGCACATTCACAAAAATGCATTCACTGTATTAAATACTGTTGGTGCAAGTTTTTTCTTCGCAAGTCTGAATTCCCTATTCTTGCAAACCGTGGTTGGGTGTGTGCCAGTCGAGTCGCTGGTGTTCTTGAGGTTTCTTTATAATAGCTGCGAAAGAAGTGGTTTTGGAATTCAGTCTCGTCTCTTCTGTGCTCGGCTGCGGAGAGTGCCTTTCGAATCGATTATCAGTACCGAGAAGAATTCATTGAGTATATTTATAGTTCTTTGTTCGGGAAACTTATTTTTTTTCAGGGACGAATCGCCTTCTCTAGTCTATAACTGTGTTTGCCAGTCGCGAGTGTTCTTCAGGCTTCTTTCAACCACTAGACATGTGTTGAAACTATTTTTGAGATTCAGTCGTGACCCGTCTCGTGTGTGTTCTTCGAATCAATTATTTTTACAGTGAAGTGCTCGTCAGGTGTTTTTACCGTGCCTACTTGAATTCATCGATGTGAAACGCTTGTTCTTTTCCGAGTGTGAATCGCCTTTTGTTGTCTAGCGACAATCGTGGTTGCGTGCGTGCGTACATGTTCTCGAGGCTTCTTTCAATCAATGATAGCTGTGTGAGAACTGGTTCTGGGATTCAGTCGTGTTTCGTCTCTCGTGTTCGACAGGAGTAGCTGCGAAGTGTGCTTTTTCGAAGCAATTATTATTACTGTGGAGAAGTGTCACATACGCTGGACGCGTGTCGATCACGAAATGGCCGTACCAATGGCATTTCATGCTGCTCACAAGGTTCGCGAAAACATGAACAAACCGTTGGTGATGGCGAACGAGGCGCACGAGGAGAACGCCTCGGGAGCTGACGGACACTCGAAGTTCAAATGTAAGTAGTTTTTTATGCGAGCAGTGAGTTTTGTGTACTAGGATTGGAAATGCTCCGTGTCCAGAGAAAAATCGTCCGTCGGTCGATTGGATTGAGAAACCGATCACCTTCGAATTCCAAGGAGGTCAGGAAAGTTGATTCTGTCGATGGCTTTACCTTGAGGCGATTTTTCGAGTCTTCTGTGCCCGGCGTTATACTTCGTTGACTATTCCCGCGGTCGTTTCTTCTCATTACTGGATACTCTACAGTCGACTTGTTTTATAGTTTCTCCATAGTATTGCTGCTTCGCGAGGCTGACAAAAGGCAGGATAGTCATGGCGGCGAGCGAATAAAAATTTTTCTTGGAAGTGCGGTAAAGTACTGAAACGAAAGGAGTGGCTTGACGCTAATTAAGTGAGCTTTTTTTTTTTTCAAATTGAGCGTGAGAAGCCGAGTAATATTCATGTGTGAAGCTGGAAAGGTGTAGTCTTTTTGGTGTCGAATCGTATTGTAAATCAGAAATGGAGGATTACCCAGAGAGAAATGTTGCGGGTGATCGAGCGTAAGTTTCTTTCATTTTCTTCTAATGCCGAGTGTTCTTGGATCAGTTTTTATGAACTACCTCGTGAGTAAAGTGGGTCATATTTTCTTACAGTTTTTGAAGGCTCAGGCAATGTGATGGTGCGAAGGTACAATGAGAAGATGATGAACGCCATTTGGGGACTGTACAACAGGAACTCGGCCCACAACTTGAAGAGCAACGTTGATGGCGGCGAAGTTGCACAGGTTGCCCCGGTTCCGCTTCCCCCACCTTCCAATAATGTGTAAGTTCGCAAATTTTCGAGATGGGTTATTTTTGAAAAGCTTCCTGGGGTAAGTATATATACTTGTAAAAAAAATTTGAAGGAAGGGCGTTGCGAGTGTCTTACCTTTATGTGTTTTGTAGGCCATGCGAGTGGAGCGTTAAGAATTATATGCGCTGCTCTGCATAGGTAACGTTTCGTTTGGTCTATCCTTTGGTTTGTATGATCCCCTGCGGTGCTTTGTTTTTTTTTCTCTTGTTTTGGTTGTCTTTTTCCATCTGTTCTGAGTTGCCGTCGGGAGTTTCGGCGCAGACCTGGAGGTTGGACCAAAAGGAGGAGCCAGAAGTGGCAGAGAAGTTGCATTTACTGTTTCATGGTGGCATCCGTTGGTTATTTCTCTCTGAATTTCTTGTCTTTCTTGAGAAGTTTTCTGTCCTACTGCAGGGTTTGATGTACACTGTACGTGTATATTTTCAAGCTGTGCGGTGTGAGATACAGTACTTCCGTAAGAAAAAAAGTAAAATGTCCGCTGAAAGTGGACGTAAAATTTTTTTTTTAGAATTGAGAGCCAGTTGAGTATGTACATGTGATGGTTGGAAAGTTTGTGTCAGAATGTCGAAGTGCATTTGTACACTTGCTAATGATTTTTCAGCGAACCTCTCGTTCAAGTGTCCAGATCTTGAAAATTGTGGTGTGATTCTGATCTTAATTTCAACCTTTGCGAATGAAATAAATAAAGTAACAGTAGTCACAAGAAGATCAAATACGAGACTGGCAAAACTTACTACCAACCCGTGTATATGCGTAAAGTGTCAAAAGATTCGAGTAATTTTAGTTTCCATCCCTCCTCTCGGTTATTGAAAATTTGAAATTCACTTGAGTACCATGTGTCTTTGAATGAGACTTGCACTGGGGGTTTTTAGCATAAAATTGTATCCCGAAGTAAGACGCGCAAACGTTTTTTAGTGACTTTAAAACTACAAGATTTCAAAAATAAGAGCACCAAAATTTCGATTTTGGCATGGCTTGAAGTTGGATTAAGTTAATTCTCATTTTTCTTCTGAAACTAGTCCGAAATTTTCAGTTGAAATTAAATGTAATGCACTCCTAAACTCAGAAAACTTTTTGAAAATTTTTTACCAGCATATGACACCCACCCCTTTTTTTCTCTCCGTTGTGAGGAAAAAGGTGCATGTGGTACTCAAGTAAATGAAGTACTGATGACTTTTTACAAATTTCTGTGGACTTTCTCTCTGCAATGATTCTTTTTACAGCAATTGATTTTTTACTGAGTGATTCAATTTTGTATTTATTCGATGAGCATTGCTGAGAGAGTCTTTCAAAATTGAATGCCAAAGCAGAAAATTTGCAGTTTTCTGTGATCGTGCTGTGTTCAGTGGATAACTGACTGGCTCTGTGATGCAAGCCTCAAAAGCTCTTTACTCCTTAAACGGTCTTCTAATTTCTTGAAATTTTCAATATCCTGAGCATTTTTCAAACGGGATGATTGAGCTTTTTTCTTTCTGTTTTCTTCTTCTCCCCCCCACTTTTTTCACAGAATGTCATTTGACTCAGTTGCTTACCAGATCAGCCGCATTACTCCAGGGTTGCTGAACATGCATCCATAGGGAAAGGCCAGTGGGGACTTGGGCGAGAAAGCGGTACAGGAGGAAACAACGGTTTGACCAGCTACTAACCCCGAGGCAGGCGGTATTTTTTTTTTTTCATATGTATTTGCTTATAATATTGAAAGGTGTCAGCGGAGGTGTTCAGTATTCCTGACTTTGTCCCTCATCAGTCCGTAAACCATGCGAAACGAAAGCGGAATCTTCCCGGAAGGAAGGAAGGAAAGGAAAGAATAGAGTCGACGAAAAGTATGTGTGTAGATGAAGTGAGACTGAACGGTTCGGTGACTGAACACCAAAGTTGATCCGACTCTTTTTTTTTGTCGGTGGAATGATGATTTTTTGTGTTTTTAAATATTGCGATTTTTTTCCTTTGATCGCGAAGGACGAGTTGAGGTTGTGGAGAGTTCGGTGAGGCAGTGATAGAAAACGGATATTCTGCTTTTTTGGCCGAAAATTGCGCATTTTTTGTTATTCCTCGGTTTTTTCATGTCCCATACCGATGGAGTGTTTGAAGGAATACAGGAATGCGTTGTTTAAAAAAAAGAACACATTTCCCTTTTATTCAAGGTTATTCGAATGGTGCTTCATCCGATGGACTGTGTTTGTGTACTGCATTTGAAAAAAATACATAGTTTGAGCTGTCAAACTGGTGAACTGGGTAATCAGCTGTTAGAAAACGGAAAACTAATTTCCCAGATGCAGCAACATATATTTTAAAAATGTAGGTAGTTTTTAAAAATGTCTTATGACAAAGTAAGTCCGTTTTGCTGGGCTTTTTGGATCGAACAATGCATTTATTTGATATGTTGCTGAAAATTGGATCGTGAACAGATTTCCAAATCAGCAGTGATTTTTGCATATTTCCTTTTATAGGAGTGATTTGTGTTAAATTTTTTCTTCTTCATTGTGCCTCAAAGCGCACTGTGGCCCAGCATGGCCTTGTTATAAATCTTACAATGGTTAGATTTTATAAAATCTTTGCATTGCCAATGTACTGCACAATTTTGTCATTTATTTTAATAGTACTTTAAATTCAACTACAGATAGTTGAAGTGATACATGTTCATACTGTTACATTGTTGAGAAGTCCTGTGTAACGTTATTTGTGCATTACAAGTAGGTGACCCTTCATTGGCAATTTAATGTTACACAGAGCTTTCAAGTGGTACTGGACATAAAGCAATTATAAAAATAGTGGATTGGTTTTCTATTGTCCCAAATCTTTCAGCAGAAGTCTTCCTTGCCAATTGTTGAACAGGTTCCTCAAAAATAGTTTGAAACTTGAAAAACTCAAATTGAAGCAGTCATTCAGTTAGAATGCTGTACAATTCAGGTGCCATCAATACCTGCCTGAATAGAATTATGCTGAATGCAACGATCACCATTTTGATCAATCAGCAGCCTTTCCTGAAGTAAGTTTCTTGTGCTCTGTGTCGTATGAAGTCAAGATCGTTGCTGCTGTATTCAACTGCGGAAAAACTACTATCGTCTGACTTTTTGATGATCTATGAACCTGTTCGATTGATGTCAATCTGTTCTGCAAATCGTGGTGCAATAATCCTGTACTCCTTCGTTCTTGGAGGGGTGCTAGGAGAATGCGGCTCTGTGGCAAGACTTTAAAGAACGCATGAGCTGAATAATATGGCGGTTGCCCTCTCGATGACTTTTAGTCGAATCGCCGGTTGCTGAACGTGAAGTCGTAGCTTCTCCGCGTAGTGTTTTCGAGGAAGTAATCCCGAGGAGAGATGTGTGAAATTTACCGAGATGAAACTGTCGAAAAATACCTTTTGCAATCCATAGGATCAGTTCTTTTTTAACTGGCTGTATATTCAATTACATAGTCCACTTGTTGTTTTTTTTTTTTTTTCGTTCCGCCTCTATTCGCGGTGCTGTCCGATTGATACCGCGCTATTTAGACGTGTAATGGTGTCAATTATCACCAGCTATTGTCGAGTGAAGCTTCATTGTGCGATAGTGATCTCCTCGCATGGAGTGAACTCCTTGTTCTTCTGCGGTGTGGATTTGCGATCGCGATATTTGTGTTCCTGTATCTCGAAGCAGCGTCAAGTGTCATTTTCTCATTCTTAAGGTTCCTGTGTTGCTTTAGTTGAAGTATCCCAAATCTGTCACCACGGATCTCTCGGGCAGTTATCGCGGCG